CCCCCCCTCGCCAGGCAATATCGATCGCCGGGCGGTCACATCTCGCTACGCGCTCGAATTGGACAGTGGGCAGGGCAAAGACGACGATTTTCGATAATTTTTTTCTCGTTAACTATTGCGAAAATTGCAAAATGTTTCAGGACTTTTCTGTTCATATCGATCCGTTCTACCTTCTCACGAGCTCGTGGACAAATGTTATAACTCACCCTGTATGTATATTGAAAGCAATTACAGACATAAGCTTTGGTAAAAATTAATTAATGTAAAAAAGATTTAATAGTTGAAAAGTTTATTTCATCACATTTTCAAATAAGTAATGATGAAGTTAAATTAGTCCAATTGAAGAATGACGTTGTGCGTTATTTGTTTTATCTTAGATTACACCGTTAAAACGGTGTTACATTAAAAGAACTATACCTTGTATTTGAAAACTGTGATAATTATGGATATCATCGTCACAAATAAATTTATTATTAACATAAAATGAGCTACAGAGTTATTATAAATATTTGGCAAAAAATACTCAAGTTTTACATAATAAACCGCACAGGCATAAACACTCCACACAGTTAATATATAGAAAATGCTCAAACAATATCCCGATTGGTCCAGTGGATATCTAAGAATTCCACAACCGAGGATAAAAGTGACTAAGAAAATGGGATTTAAAGTCTTTTCGATGGTATCAACCATATTCTGGTCAAAACTCTTCCAATTCCATACACTAACTAATAAAATCAATTGTAAACTTTATACTGTGCAAACGTTACATTCATCGCGAAAATGAAGTCGAAGCATTTGATTATATCGCCGCATAACTGTTAAATTATGAAGTAGCATCGTAGTTGACACAATCGATCCTTACATCCACTTATATCATATTAAGATGCTAAAAACATAAAAAATTAATTAACGTAAAACATTTAAATGGACTGAATTCATCTTCGATAACGTTCTGATTAAGTTTATAGATTATGTTCACTCATTCCATTATTATTTTCTAATTACCATCTAATATATGATAATCGATAAAGATGTGATTGAGTACTAATAAGCTCTTTTAAATATAATATTGCAATTTAAATTACTTATACTAAACATGTTATAAGGGAAAATTAGTAGACAAAATTGTAAAAGTTTTTAAATCAATCTTGAAACACCAAACTGTTAATTAAAGTAATATATAAACTTCAATATGTAAAACATCTCAACTATTGATTGTAGAAATTATATAAAAACAATTTTAAGAAATTCTTATTAAATTAGTTATAAATTATTTAATTTTATATTAATAAGTATGGTTTAATAATATACTACTTATTTGTAATATGCTTAGACTCTTGCAAAATAAATCATCATATTTACCACACGTATACATATATAAAGTTCCATTATAAATTAATAAACTCCTTAAAGTTTTTATGCATACAAAAGTTTTGAAGTACAATTGTAATAGCATATTCTTATGTCATTCAGCACTTACTCATATTAAAATGTTCGATCCATTTTCAAATGAGAAATAAATGAGTCTTTCTTGCACGAATAACTCAAATAATGTTTTTAATTTACGTATGACACCCCAGATAGCACAAAGATGAGTGTAAGTTCATAGATAATTTATTTTAAAAAATACCTGCAGAATTAGAAAAATGAATATCTGAAGAATTTGTGAAATTTGCAACTACAACAGATTGTAATCATAGTATATATATTTTTTAGACTTTATTCGTATTAAGGAAATGTATATAAACTAATATTTGTAAGAACAATATTTTAATTATATTCAACTTATTTTAATTGTATCCAATATTATATACTTATAATATCAACTTCGTCATATTCTTAAAAGCCCATAAATGCTTTAGATGCACCAGGCATTTGGATTACAAGAAGCACAAACGTCATAATTGTCATAACAAACTGAAAGAAATTGTGTTAATTAAATTTTAATGCAGACATTTTACCGTATAGAAAAATAAACAAAGATAATATTCTAGACCGATTTTTCAAATATTGATTTACACTTCCGTTATGTAGGTAATAGAATACCAATAAATTCTTATTTAAACGGTGATTGGTAACATATGTCATTAAGTCATTATCATTAAGTGCAACGTATATAAGGAACGACAAGATTTAATTAATAATAAAGTAAATACAGCAACAAACTTTTCGCAGAAAACCATTGCCAAAATGAAAGAGACCTAGTCCAGAAAATTTCAATGGACGCTGTATCATTTGCAAGGTAAACTGGTAAATCTGCACAGAAATTGTTATTTAAGTTTTAACAATTTATTTTAGTTGTCTATTGTTATTGAAATTGATTTTACCTCGTCATGAATGTCGGCGTAGTGAAAAGTTAATTGGTGAATTATCATCTTCATTTCATTGGACTAAAATAAATAACTTTCAATAAATAAATAAATAAGAATATGGTATGTATGTACATATTATATCTATATATGTACATTCACTCGCACGTGCGCGCCCACGCATCCCTCCCCCATCTTCCCACACACTATTATATGTATGAATTTACCTTCATACTAACATCCTCACAAACATAATTAAAGCAGAAAAGTCTGGCCACATTTAAAGACATCCAAAAATCAATATCTATCCAATCCAAATATGATGATATGAATTGGTCATCTCTCATTATATGTATATAAGTATAACGAAATAATCTTAGCACGAATATGAAATAAGCTACCATTTCCATAGTCATCTGTGTTTCAAATATTACATTTAATTCACGAGCAAGTTGACACAATTCCAAATGGAGATGCCTATCAAAATATAAATTGTCGATAAAAGCATTGAAAAAATTGTGAATTGGTCAAACCATTTTGTAATTGAAATTAATTATATTATCTTAATAAAAATCTTAAATTTATACTAAATCCTAAAATAAATCATTTTCACGCAATACTAAGTCAGTAATTTAATCGAGTACATTTGTATAATTTACATTGTGGTCCACAACGCGCGCTTGTAATGATTATTACGTATGATATATCGACGAATGGGTTGTACTGCTTTTTTCAAACGTGTATAACTTCTACCACGTTTTTCTCCCAATAGCAAATATCTTATATGTTTATTTAACTTGTCAAATCTTGTACCAATGTACCTGCAAAGGAAAAATTGTGTAATTCCAAAATTTATGAAGCTACAAACAACTTCATAGGCATATGTATATCTATGAATTTTCAATTTATATTGTTTTATACATATAAATTTGTAAACTGTGTTAATTGAACACTTTTTTTAGTTTCTAAATTGTAATTAATTACCTGTAAGTAAATACCTTTACTAAGAAACACTAAAGCTTTAAAAATATCATACAATTTTCATAATTAGTGTTAATTAAAATACTAATTACACTTATACATATAATTTAATTACTAATTGTATAAGATATATTTTTAAATAATATACAAACCAGAGATAAATTGAAAATACTAAATCCAAAAGTATGTTGAAGTGTTGGTAGTAATTTGTGATGTGTGGTATAATCATGTACCGATATTTCTTCAATGTGCGAAACCACCATATCATATCATTTATATTGGCTAGTTGGATACACACCAACCATCCAATCAATGCTCTCTTTATATATACATTTAACTTTCGATATATTTTAGGAATACCTAATTCTTCCAACGTATCATCTACAGCGGCAAGTCTTTTTACGAATATTTGTAATCTCTGAACAATATTAGAAAAAAATACAATATATCTAATGTAAATCGTCTTTATGTAAAAATTACTTAAATATTTATATTCTTGTTATAAAGAATTACAATTGATTTACTTTAATTATATATTAATAAAAAGTAAACGTTTAATATATAAGTAGGTATACCTTATGTTGATAAAAACTCATAATAACAGATACAATACTGATCAAAGAGCTTATCATATTATAAATTATACTAGAAGTGGCTAGAAACCATTTTTCCACTTTAAGTACGATCACCACATAACAGAGAAGATAACTGTAAGCGCTCCAAAATGTCACGTTGTACAAAATACTGAAATAAAATTTCGCTGAAGTGTGGACGCCTAGACCGAGAATGAAGGTAGTCAGCATCAAAGGACGCGTAGCTTGTTCTATGGTGGTCACCATATTCACATTTATCGTAGTTCCTATTGTAAACTGAAATTGTATGTCTGTTACACTTTATTTAGCCGACACAGAGCTAGTTTATTAAGGTGACAGAATAATTCAAGGATCATTACATTAGTGCTATACATTATTCAACTTTTCCATAAATGTAACTGATGACATAATCGATCTATGTCGTTTAACACTATTTTAACATTGACAACAGCAAAATGATTTTTAATTTATAGACATTGTTCAATTAAAATATTTGTATAATTCCGTATTAAAATTGTATAACAGCAATATATTTTTAGCAACTAAGAAACCAATTTGTAAACCAACACGTTTTTGTAGTCAACAATAATATCTAATGTAAATTAATACTTTAAATAAAATATTCTAATTTTATGTATTATAATAAATAATATTAATTTAATAATACTTATATGATTAGTCATTAATCAGAATGTAGTTTATAAATGTTAAAAAGTTTTATTTACTATAAATATATGTGTATAAGGGGAACACAGACATAAATTAATGTGATATATTTATGAATTATATTGGATTGAGCCATAAAGAACTTTACTTAATAAATTGAATTTTTATAATTTAAAACGTTATAACAGTACAAATATTGATTCGTTAATGATATACTCTTAATTGCTGCAAATAAATGAAATAGATGCTGTGGGTGATACTGATTTTTCAGAGGAAATAATTCAGTAAATATAATAATATTGCAATTTATTCGCAAGTTATTGACAGAATTTTTAGAAAATATGGTTTTGTTTACATTATTTATAAACAATAGTTTTTACGTGTTGTTTCATACTTATCCTCTTCAAGATATCAATTTGGTCATATTTTTAAGAGCCCATAAATGCCTTAGATGCACTAGGCGTTTGAATTACAATAACCATGAACATCAAAATTGTCATAACAAACTGAAAAAAAGTTTTATTAATTAAATTTTAATGCGGACCTTTTACCTTAGAGAAAAATTAAGATAATATTCTAGACCGATTTTTCCAATGTAGTTTTACACTTCCGTTATGTTGATAATAGAATACTAATACAATCTTTTTAACGGTGATTGGTAACATACTCGTATGTTATCATTAAGTGCAACGTATATGTATAACAAACTACAAGATTTAATCAATAAAGTAAATACAGAAACAAACTTTTCGGAGAAAACCATTGCCAAAATGAAAGAGACCTAGTCCAGAGAATTTCAATGGACGATGTATCATTTGTAATGTAAACTGGTAAATCTGCACAGAGATGTTATTTAAGTTTTAACAATTTACTTCAGTTGCCTCTTATTATTGCAATTTGTTTTACCTCGTCATAAATATTAGCATATTGAAGAGGATCTGTTAATTGGTTAATTATTGTCTTCATTTCGTTAGACTGAAATAAATAACTTGTCATAAATACATAGGAACATATGTATATCTACATATATCATAGACAGGGTGCCCCATTTTTATTTTTGGGTTAAAACCTCTCAATATTTCAGAGTTTTAGAAAAAAAATGTTTTAGCCAATAAAACATTTCTGAAATATAGGGAGTGACTACAAACTTGATGGACACCCTGTATATATATACACTTTAAAAATTATATATAGACCTTAGCACTAACATCCTCGCAAACGTAATTTAAGCAGAAAAGTCTGGCCACATGTAAAGATACTACAAAACTAATATCAATCCAATCCACATATGACGATGTATTTTTTATTATATTTATGTAAGTATAGTGAAATAATCTTGTCACATATATCAAATGAACAGCCATTTCCATAGTCAGTTGTGTTTGAAACATTGCGTTTAATTCTTGAGCAATTTGACACAATTCCAAATGGAGATGCCTATTAGAACATAAACTGTTGATAAAAGCATAGAAAAATAGTTAATTAAAATCATTTTTTTATCTAAATAAATTATGTTATCTTAATAAATTTTCTGCTAAATCCTAAAATGCATTATTTTCACGCCGTACTAAATCAGACCAAAATCAATAATTTATCCAAGTATAATACATTTGTGTAATTTACATTGCGGTCCATAACACGCGCTTGTAATAATTAATACACGTGATATCTCGACGAGTGGCTTGTACTGCTTTCCTCCAACATGTATAACTTACACCACGTTTATCTCTCAATAGCAAATATCTCATGTGTTCATTTAATTTGTCAAATCTCTTTCCAATGTACCTGCAAAGAAAAAATTGTATAATTCCATAATTTATGAAGCTACGAATAACTTTACACATATAAATTCGTTATTTATATTGTCTTAGATAAATTTTTAACCTGAATTAAACTACAATAAAACGTCCCACATCTGCGCTTCCCACATCTGCGCGCGTCCCATATCTTCGCTAGTTTCCGTCCCACATCTTCGCGTTTTCAAAAGGTAGCTCCCCCACCACCGCCGCTTTCTGACGCAGATGTTGGGTCAGTTCCGGTCCCGACCGGCGCAGATGTGGGACGTTTTACTGTATTTTAGTTTCTAAATTATATCTACATAGATTACATCTATCATTAAATTATCTTTATTAAGAAACTTTAAATTTCTAAACAATATCATATATGCTTTACACTAATAACTTATTTCTGAAACATGTTTTAAATAAAACAATGATTATATGTATATATAATTTTATTAATAAAGTGTAAGATATTTTTAAACATTTTAAATAATGTACAAACCACATATGAATTGTAAATACCAAATCCATAAATATGTTGACATGGTGATAATAATTTGTAATGTACGGTATAATCATGTACTGATAATTCTTCGTTATGCGAAACCACCATATCATATCATTTACATTGGCCAGTTGGGTACATATTAACCATCCAATTAATGTCCTTTTTATACATACATGTAACTTTTGATATATTTTAGGAATGCCTAATTCTTCCAATGTATCGTCTACTGCAGCAAGTCTTTTTATGAACATTTGTAATCTCTGGACAATATTAGGAAAAAATACCAATTTGTCTATCGTAAATCATATTTACGTAGAAATTATTAAGATAATTATTTTTTTGTCATAAAGAGTTGTAATAGATTAACTGTCTTTCGTAGATTAATCAGTAAACATTGAATATGTAAGGCTACATACCTTATGTTGATATAAACTCGTAATCATAGATACAATACTGACCAAAAAGTCACTTCCATTAACAATTATACTAGAAATTATTAGAAACCATTTTTCCACTTCAAATACGATCACCACATAACAGAAAAGATAACTGTAAGTGCTCCATAATGTTACGTTGTATAAAATACTTAAATAAAGTTTCCCTGGAGTGTGGACGCCCAATCCAAGAATGTGAGCAGTTAGGGACAAAGGACGTATAGCTTGTTCTATGGTAGTCACCATACTCATGATTATCGTAGGTCCTATTTTGAACTGAAATTGTACGTCGGTTAAACCTTATTTTGCAAACATATAGCTAGTTTATTAAGGTAACAGAATAATTCAAGGATTAATACATTAGCGCTATACATTATTCAACTTTTTATGAGGGTACCTAATGACATCTATTTAATCAATCTATGTCACTACATTGTTAATGCCAATAATAGAAAAATGATTTTTATCTTATGGACATTGTTCAGTTAAAACATTTGTATAATTCCGTATTAAAATATTTAAAAAAATTTTATGACAGATTGGGAGATTAAGCAGCGAATAGAATTGATCCGTGAAACTTTGACGTACGTAATGATAAATGACAAAATAAACTGGCAAAATATAATTTATATTATATCTGTAAAATATAATTTATATTATATAGTAGATTGATCTTTATTGTAATATTTTTCTATGACCGTCATATTTTATTAAATTTAAATGTGAATTTATTAGAGTGCGAAAATTCATTGGATTCACACTATGGTAGATTTTACAGGAAGGTTTCTTAAATGGATAAATAATGTGCAATTATTTTTATGTGCATTATTATTTAATTTCTCTTTAATTTAATCAAAGCCTCAATTCGTTTTTTATTGCCATTGTCAAAGGAACAATGTATTTCAAATTATCCAATTAGTAGCAATTAGTGAAATTTCAGGAATTACTATTAATAGAAATAAGGTGCCCACCACAGAAAAGTTATAATTAATAAATCCATAAGCACGTTGACGCGTTGATAATGATTCTTAATAAAAGGTATAATCATGTACAAATAATTCTTCATTGTACGAAATCATATAATTGATATTGGCTACTTACTTATTATTATTTACATTATACTTTTTATTGCATATAAATCAGTACATTTATTTATAACTTTAGAGAATTATAATATCAGATAGAAGTATTGAACACAATACATAGGTTAGAAAGAGAGGGTAAAGAATTTCACAAGTGCATACATATATGTATCACATCACTTGTTGTAGTATGTTATATTATCTCTGCTATAAATTTTGATCCATGCAGGAGTATAACCCATTTGCGCCATAAACATTAGAGTAGTGAGAGTCCAGACGAAGAACTGAAGGGAGATATCGAACAGAAATATTATTATTCAAAATTTTGGAATTTAGTAGATAAAACTTCCACAAAAAGGAGTATATATAATATTAAAGATTAACCTTACGAATAAAGCTGTAACCAAAATAAAATAGACCCCAAGCGCTAAACTTCAACTGGTGTAATGATATTTGCAAAACGAACTGGTATATCTGTGTTACATTGTAATGTAGTATACTTATTTAAATGTTCCTAAATGAAAATTATATTTACAATCAAAAGATAATTATATAAAAGACTTATCTTACCTCTTCCTGAATTTCCACAAAACAAATAAGATTTGTTAATTTATGAGTAATGCTTCTAGTTTTTTTAACCTGAAATAATACAGGATTAATGATATCTTTGTATATTTGTAATTGCATTGTTTTGAATAACAAATTGATATTTTTGTATAATAAAAAGCAGACATTTTTAATCTTTTATTTTGTTATTAAAAAGAATTCTTTGTAGTATTAGTATATTTCTTTTAATATGGTTCTTATTGGCAATTATTAATCTTTTAGAAAGTGTTAAGATTATTTAAAAAAAAATTTTTTTTTGTAACTTGTAAGAACGATTTTTCCAATCAAGAAGTATTTACCTTAGTGCTAACATTTTCACAAATGTGATTCACTGATAAGAGTTTCATTAAAAATATGATAAACCATATGTTGGTAGAAAGACATATATTTACTGCCAAATTATTTTTGTACATTTCTTGTAGATGTATTATTGCACAATATTGAAAGTAAAACATTCCGTTCAAGAGAACGAAATAAGATATCATTTGTAAAGCCATTGGTATTCCAAATAAATCACTTATATCGCGAGCTGTTCGGCAAAGTTCCAAATGAAGATGTCTAAAAAGGTATTGTATTAATAAAATAACATATTTATGAAAAATATACTTATTAATATTTGTATTAATATTAAAAACTACTCATTAATTATATTTATTAATTTATTATTTTCAAATATTATACATTGAATTTTGAATTATATGTATACATGTATCGCATTAATCTCTGAGACTGGTTGGCAGTATGAAAGCTGAACTTCTATAAAAAGATTTATATTGTCGAAAAAAATAAGAGATACATTTATCTATATATTTTATGTGTTAAAAAGTTAGCAATTTACATTACAGTCCATAATATGTGCTTGCGATTCTTAGTGTTTCGAACATAATAGCCATTAACGACAAAAGCTTTTTTCCACTTGCATCTTAGTCCATACTCTTCTGTTTCTGATAGTTGTTTGATATGATTGTTTATTTTATCTAGCCTAGCACCAATATGTCTATAATTTAAATTTAAAGAATAGGAAAAGTGTAATTAAGTGTTTAAACACAATAGAATAAAAAATATATAAACTATTAATTAATTTTTTCTTTGTTGCATTAAGTTTTATAATTTATGGATACAGAAATATATTACAAACTTCTAAATATGTATATGTATATATACATGCTAAGTAAAATACATTTAAATTAAATAATTTAATACAAATAAAAGGCTTATTGATGAAATTACTGTAAATATTAACATACAATTTAATCAGTTTGTACTCTGCTTTGTTTTAAGAAAGATTAATAATCTGGTTAAATTAACTAAAATAAATCTCAATGTAAAATAGTTATAATACAATGAAATTTGTAAACCTTAGAAGAAGAAGAAAATTTATATCCATTAAGCTATTAACGTATACAGGATAATTTAGAAGACAAGGAACAAATATGGCCATTGTATCATTGTGCATTACTATGTACAGTAAAGAATCCGAAATCCATGTTGTGCAGATCAGTAAAAACCAAATAATTAACGTTTGATTTGTTAAACTTCTTATTTTATGGCATTCTTTCGGTATACCGAGTTCTTCCAGTGTATCATCCATAAGATCTAATTTCCTTAAATATTGCCGGTATTTCTGAGGATAACAGCCAGAGCGTTTATAATAGATATTAGAAAAATTTTTCCTGACTTAATATACACGAAGCATATGCATAATGATATACTTAATAATACACTTATAAAGCACAGCGTACACGATATAAATTTCATTAAAATTATATATTAAGTTATGTAATGGCAAATGCATTAAAGGCAAAATTCTTAGTTGATTGTACCAGTTTTAATTTCAACAAAGATAAATTAATTTATAAAATGTGTTTCAAAGATAGAAATATTAATTTATTACATTTTTTAATAAATCAATAATGTTGGAATTGATTACTTTTATATCCTAGGACGTGCTATGGCATACTGTTTGCTTTATTTCATATATCATACTTTATTGAAATGACAACATTGATAAATAAAATTCATACCTTATGTTTGCAAATGATCATAAACATGGATATTATTATTACAAGCCAATTTACTGTTATTATAAATATTGATAAAAAACCATTTAACACTCTTTCTGGCGGAAACAGAATTGTTGTATAATAGAATGCATAAGCATAAACACTCCACACAATTAATATATAGAAAATACTCGGATAATATCTTGGTTTGTTTAACGGATATCTAAAAATTCCGAAACCTAATAAAGAAGCGACTAAGGAAGCAGGACTTAACGCCTTTTCTATAGTGTCGATCATAATGCAGACTCTTGCAATTCTATGTGCTAACTGTAAAATTTTCCAGGTAGCAACATTCATATTGTGCAAACGTCATGTTCATTGCTACGATGAAATGGCTACATCTTATTATATCGCAAATGTCTGTAAATCATTAAACCATTGCACTTTTGAGGTAATCGATCCGCATATAAGATAGGTATATGCACTTACATTTAAATTGCATTTTGCACCATTTTTCTGTACTTATGTTATGTGAAACTAAAATAAACAAACCAAATTTAATTTTAATGCAATTTTGATTAATTGTCCTCAAAAAATGTTGATGTATCGTATTAGTATGCTATATTAAAATAAATTGTGCTCATTCACAAAAGGAATATGATTAGATAATATTATTATTAAGTTTATTATTTTTAATATTGCAACTTAATACATAATATTTGTACAATATTTATTTAATAATAAATAAATACATAC